AGGACTAGTGTCTGGGGTCTTAAAAGCTTGTCTTAAAACAAGCAGGCATCTAAGTGTCAGCTAAGTTCACACAGAAGCAGCACACCAGCATGTGTGAGCCAAGAATTGTAAACTGAAAAATCAAAATCCAGAGGAGGGAATGGTATTAGAGATTACATTCTGAACACTTGGTTTGCAGAAGGCTGTGATGTTAGTGAGAGCCCAAAACCCATTTTCAGGGTCCGGCATGCAGATTAGGCCTCTGCTGAATCCCCTCTGACTATGGACCAGAGATGGTAAAGGTCTTGTTACCAAACACAGTTCATTCCTGGGTGGATGACTGCAATGTACTTAGATCAGAACACGACACCTTGTCAGTGGTCTCCCTCTTGACACAACGTATAACTGCTCGGGTTTTGAATATTTTCTGCTTTGTTTTCTATTGAGGCTTTTCTTGGTCTAATGATGTCATTTGTTGGGTCATCTGCTTGTACTCTGTCTTGATTTGGTATGATTTTCTGGATAGGAAACCCAGATTAGCAAACCTAGAGAGACAACCACTGGATCAATAGATTCAAAGGCATGGGAGGCTGGCAGGAAGTGGGAGCTAACAATGCGGAGGAAGAAGAAATGTCCTGGTGATGGTTCCACAAACGCGTATGAATGTGATTGAACTATTGACATGTATGCTGGTGAAATTGTTAAAAACAAGCTAATTCAAATAAAAAATCAAAAAGATGTTTCAACAAATGGATGCAACACGGGAGGTACTCGCTCATGTACACCAAGAAAACTGGATGTCCGCTGCCTGACCAGCAGACGGGAAGAGATCTGTGTTTGTGGCCATTCCAAAGGAAGGTGACCTAACAGAATGGAAATGATTCACAATATGCGTAATAATTATAATATCATTAATATGATAAAAATAATGATTGGCGTTATTTATGTCAATAATAATATGAATAAATAAGAAGACTGGAGACTCTATTTGGATTATGGTGTTGATGGAGAATGCAGATGCTGCCAGAAACACAGGTCTGTCCTGGAAGAAGTACAGCCAGAATGCTCCTTATGTTGGGAGACGTTGCCACACATACTCTGAACCTCGTATCAGGAGACACTCGTCCCTGGGAAAGGTCATCTTTCGGAGGGGGAAAAACAATTTGATGGAAGAGACATCACTGAAGCTGTGGCCAGTGGCTCGGGATGTGAGGAGAGGGAGATGACTATTCAGTTACTGCCAACCAACATCGTGCTAAGGTCAGCCCAAGTCCCCAGGCTCTGCTACAAGACTGATTAGTGGGCCTTACTGGACATTCAAGCCGAGGTCGGGGATCAGGGCTTGGACGTCTCCGAGAAGGCGATTGCACTTCTGTTGGTGGGTAACAGGAAGAGCAACCTCCCGTTGTGGGGAGAACATGCTTCCCGATACTTATACTAGAACCCAAGGAGAGAAGATGCCTGGTACGATGCTCCTAATTGGATACTTTGACCTCGTTTCTATCCAGCCCTTGGCGACCCAGGCTGTGTGCTATACAGGCAACTGTGACTTCAGACTCGGTTCTCTGGAAGTGCTCAAATCCTTCATGGGCCACAGTGAACGGATTCTCTATGGAAACACCACTAAATGAACTGGCTCTACCTCAAACTCAACGGTAACCGACCTTCAGTGATACCTCAGTTGTCAAACTCAATTCGTTCCAAATGTGTGCTGGCACCCCGAAAAGTCTGAGAATGGAGCATATCTTTCCCGTAAGAAATAATGGTAAGCCAAATCATTGGTTCTGAGGCCCCAAAATCACACTCAAGGATTCCTTTGTCTAGGACTTTAACACAAAGCTAACAGCGCTAGGTTGTGGCAATCCCGCCTAACCCGTCTAAACATAATATAGTACAGGCAACTGGACCTTGATTTGGAAGCTTCCCGGCACACAAGGGGCTGGAGAGAAACTGGAGGAGGGGGAGAAATGCTCTTTTTTGGAAGGAGCACCTCCTTCACGATGACCTCCGGCGGTCCACTGTCTGGGAGCATTCCTCTCGCCCTTTCTCACTGAGAACTTATCCGAGGACACTGCCTTCTTGTACGTGAGCCCGCACGTTCCTTGGCCAGCTTCCCCACGCTGCCTCCCGTTGCTGACGTTGTCCAGCAGATGGCCTCTTCCGTCTGTTTCTGTCATGAAGGACCTCGGGGCTCCTCCCTTCCCTACCCAGGCCAGTTCTTCGGCGGCGGCATCTCCCTCGGAAGATCCTGCCGTTCCTCGTGGTGAGCTCCTTTTGCACTGTGCTCCCTGGCCAGCTCCTCCGCCGGCTCTTCGTTCATCAACCTCAAGACCCAATCGCCCTCCTCCCGACGCCCCTGCACAGAGCCCACAGAGCCTGCAGTCACTCTCGCCCCTTCTGGCCACGTTGGATTCAGCCACCAAACCAGACACGTGGCGGCCTGATTCCTTCCTGTGACTCTCGTGGGTCTCACCAGTCTGCCTCGTGGCTTTACTGCCGGGCTCCCTCCCTCCCTCTCCCGAGCCACGGCTGCCACGCTTGATGCAAATAAAGCACCTGCAGGCACGCAGACAAGCACAAGGACCGACGTGTTCATGCGCGATCGGTGGTCTCAAACGGAAGCGCCAACCCTTTGGGTCTGAGGGGAGATGTGTGGCACATGGCTCACCCTTGACCCGCACAGGTTAATTTCAGGTCGGATTTTCGGTTTGACCATTTCCTTTTTTTAAGGACCTCGCTGTTTTTTGAGTTGTGGCAAGTTCGAGCTCGGAGGCGTTCTACAGCCGAGCGGTGTCACTGTACACCCTTGGACTTCTGGCTGACACACCTTCACGGGAGAAGGCACATGAACCACCCTGG